TACACTGTCTATAATCCCGTTCAAAGTAGTTAATCTGGATTCAGAAACTGGATTATATGGCATTGTAGATGGGGCCTTAATTGAACATTTGCCCAAAAAAGAAGGAAAGAGAAAATAAGAAAATAATAATTTAAAAAAAACAGCAGAGAAGACCTCAACTTAACATATTTCTAAAAGATGCCCATCAGTCCACCCTGGAGAAGAATGAAGTATGCAAAGAAAGATAGAAATTAAGAGCACAAGTCATATTTAATGAGATTTTGATTGGCAAACAGTGCCATCTAGTGGCCAAAGCCTTTCATTGCATTCTCCACTTTTGCAGCATTCATGCATACATTCATGCATCTATCAACCCCATTGAATTAAATGGAATTGTATTCTGAATAGGCAAAAGTGTGCTGTTCATTGCATTGATGTATGCATTAAATCTGAAGTCAAAGGAGAAAGCAAAAAGAAAGTCTCAGTAGTCCTTTCAAATGTTGTTATAGATCTGTTGCAAGTTGCTTATGTTGCAACTTCATGTTATGGGCTTTGCATTTGCTAACAGTTTACTTTCAGGGACAGTTGTGTGTTACTAGAATTATGTTATTATTTGGCCTGTTTGTGGCCAAAGTGAAGGAAAGCAAAAAGCAGCTCATCCCCCGCCCTCTTTAATACAGCCATGCTAAGGAGGTTGACATCAACCCCTTGTTTGTATTATTATTATTATTATTTATACTTCTTTATACCTCAGTTTATCTCCCCAAAGAGGACTCAAAGCAGCTTGACCTAAAAGCTTTAGTATACAATTTAAAATATACAAACATTTAAACAGAATCAAACACAAACGGCACAAAAAATCAGTTAAAATCCGTCTTTGCGAGGTCTGGAGAAAGAAAGGAAGAAGCCCACTCTTTCCTGGCTGTCTGTAGGAACCCTTCCCACCAGCATTGAAGCGATGGTCCTCTGCCATCAACTCCGCTGGGCCGGCCACGTTGTCCGGATGCCTGACCACCGTCTCCCAAAGCAGTTGCTCTACTCTGAACTTAAGAACGGAAAACGGAACGTTGGTGGACAGGAAAAGAGATTTAAAGATGGGCTCAAAGCCAACCTTAAAATCTCTGGCATAGACACTGAGAACTGGGAAGCCCTGGCCCTTGAGCGCTCCAGCTGGAGGTCAGCTGTGACCAGCAGTGCTGCAGAATTTGAAGAGGCACGAATGGAGGGCGAAAGAGAGAAATGTGCCAAGAGGAAGGCGCGTCAAGCCAACCCCGACCGGGACCGCCTTCCACCTGGAAACCAATGCCCTCACTGCGGGAGAAGATGCAGATCAAGAATAGGGCTCCACAGCCACCTACGGACCCACAGGGAAACCCATGATGGAAGACCATCTTACTCGTCCAACGAGGGATCGCCTAAGTAAGTAAGTAAGCATGGCAGGGGGTCTGTAGGTGGTTGTGGAGCCCTATTCTTGATCTGCATGTTCTCCCACAGTGAGGACATAGGTTTCCAGATGGAAGGCGGTCCCGGTCAAGGTTGGCTTGATGCGCCTTCTTCTTGGCACATTTCTCCCTTTCGCTCTCCATTCATGCTTCTTCGATTTCTGCAGCACTGCTGGTTACAGCTGACCTCCAGTTAGAGTACTCAAGGGCCAGGGCTTCCCAGTTATTGGTGTCTATGCCACAGTTTTTGAGGTTGGCTTTAAACCCATTTTTAAATTTAATTTCTGTCCACCAACATTGCATTTCCCGGAGTAGAGTACCTGCTTTGGGAGACAGTGATCGGTCATTTGGGCAATGTGTCCAGTCCATCAGAGTTGATGGCAGAGGAGCATCGCTCAATACTGGTGGCTTTTGCTTCGTCCAGTACACTGACATTTGTCCAACTGTCTTCCCAAGAGATTTGCAGGATTTTCCGGAGGCAGCGCTGATGCAATCATTCCAGGAGTCGCATATGACGTCTGTAGACAGACCACGTTTCACAGGCATATAGCATGGTTGGGAGGACAATGGCTTTATAAACAAGCACCTTGGTATCCCTATGGATGTCCCGGTCCTCAAATACTCTCTGCTTCATTTGGGAAAATGCTGCACTCGCAGAGCTCAGGCGGTATTGTATTTTGGTGTCAATGTTGACTTTTGTGGAGAGGTGGCTGCCAAGGTAATGGAAATGGTCAACATTTTCTTTTCTTTTTTAATATTCTTTATTAGTTTTCAACAATACATAATAGTTTAAAAGAGAAGAAAACAAAAGAAAAGAAAGCAGTAGTAAAGGAAGAAATAAGAAAGAAGAGTGGAAGGAAAAGGGGGGATAAAAAAGCAAAAAAAGTAAGGAGAGTGAAGGGGGATATAAAAGAAGGGGGATAGCAAAAAAGCGAAAAGAAATAAAGATTGTATTTTTTTTAAAAAAAAAGAAAGTGTCAATCAGTAATAAAAAGTTCTTCAAAAAGGGAATCAAAAAGAGAATCAAAAAGTTTCTTCTTCTTCGGTCTGACTTCCGGGGTCCTCCAGGAGTGGTTTTCTTCCTTTTCCTTTATATTTCCATAATTCTTATATCTCTTCATATCCATCGCATAATATAAATTAAAGAGGAATAAAGTTTATATGGAAGGTTTCTTTCTAGGAATTATCCCCCCTTTTGGCTTATTAAGTAATCATCAAAAACTGTCCAGTTCGTTTCATTTTCTGTTTTCCCTTTATATCTTTGTAATAAATAACTTAATCTATCCATATTTTTTACATCCAGTGTTTCTTCTTCCAATCTTCAATTGTGGGTATATCCTTCTTTCTCCATACTTTGGCATAGCATATTCTGGCTGCAGTTGTGGCTAAAAACAAAAGCTTATCTGTGTTATTCTCTAGCAGTGGTTCTCAACCTGGGGGTCGGGACCCCGAGGGGGGTCACGAGGGGGTGTCAGAGGGGTCGCCAAAGACCATCAGAAAGCACAATATTTTCTGTTGGTCATGGGGGCTCTGTGTGGGAAGTCTGGCCCAATTCTATCGTTGGTGAGGTTCAGAATATTCTTTGATTGTAGGTGAACTATACATCCCAGCAACTACAACTCCAAAATGTCAAGGTCTATTTCCCCCAAACTCCACCAATATTCACATTTGGGCATAGGGAGTATTCGTGCCAAGTTTGGTCCAGATACATCATTGTTTGGGTTAACAGTGCTCTCTGGATGTAGGTGAACTACAGCTCCCAAACTCAAGGTCAATGCCCACCAAACCCTTCCAGTATTTTCTGTTGGTCATGAGAGTTATATGTGCCAAGTCTGGTTCAATTGCATTGTTGGTGGAGTTCAGAATGCTCTTTGAATTTAAATGAACCATAAATCCCAACAACTACAACTCCCAAATGCCAAAATCAATCCCCCACAACCCCACCAGTATTTGGGCATATTGGGTATTTGTGCCAAATTTGGTCCAGTGAATGGAAATACATCATGCATATCAGATATTTATATTATGATTCATACCATTAGCAAAATTACAGTTTTGGAGTCGTAACAAAAATAATGTTGTGGTTGGGGGTCACCACCACATAAGAAACTGCATAAAGGGGTCGCGGCATTAGGAAGGTTGAGAACCACTGTTCTCTAGTTTCATATCCGTAATTCCTAATAGGAATAGTTCCGGTTTTAAGGGGATATTAATTTTCAAAATTTTCTGAAGGGTATCCTGAATTTCTCTCCAATAATTTCTTGCTTTCCTACATTGCCACCACATGTTGTAGAATGTGCCCTCTATTGTTCCGCATTTCCAACATTTTGAGTTCAGATTTTTATAGTACTTTCCTAATTTGCATTGTGTCATATACCACCTAAAGAACATCTTTATCCAATTTTCTTGCAAATCGTAAGCTCGTGAAGAAATGGTCAACATTTTCTAACGTTACATCATTAAGCTGTATTTTTTTTAAATAATTTTTTATTGATTTTGCATTATAAAATATACATTAAACATACATGTAGGAAAGGGCATGTAAACAACATCATCCAAACAACAGGTAAACATTCTGACAAACAAACCATCCAAACAATAGCCCTGAAGCCCACCACCACCCTACATAAAGCTTCCCCCCCCCACCCACCCCCATCCTAGTGTCTAAAACTGACTTCCTCTCATCTCATTCACTTTCTATTATATTTCTTCTTTCAGTATCTCTATTACATATCTTCTCTCCTCATTTCCAGAATTAATGTTAGTCTCATCTCAGTACATTTCATTTTCTATATAACTTTTAAGCAAACTCCAATCCGTCATAAAAGTTCCTTTTCCGTTGTGTTGTCTAATCCAGAAGGTCAATTCGTCCATTTCTTGAATGTCCAGTAATTTTTCCAGCCATTCTGATCTTGATGGCGTTGAGTCTTGTTTCCATTTTCTAGCAAAGGTCATCCTAGCCGCTGTTACGATAAAAGTAAACAACAAGCTGTATTTCTGGCATTGCAGAGGGATTGGCTGGTGACTGCTGGAAGTCGCCTAATTAGGCTGAGAAACGCGGTATAGAAATAAAGCAAATAAATAAATAAATAAATAAGAGCACTTTGGTTTTCTTGATGTTCAATGAGAAGCCAAGCTTCTCGTATGCTTCTGCAAAGGTGTTTAGAATGGCTTGTAGGTCTTCTTCTGAATGCGCATATATGACATTGTCATCAGCATATTGGAGTTCTATAACAGATGTTGTTTTGACCTTGGCTTTGGCTTTCAGTCTGCTCAGTAGATGCCCCCGAAGACCAGTGCCCTTGAAATCCAGTGCTCCTTGTAAAACTACAACTCCCAAGACTCCATAGCATTGGATCATGGATGTTAGCGTGTGGTCTGACTGCATCCTGAGTTCAGGGCTCCAACCAATTAACCAAACTGCCTCTTTGTTTCTGGCACTTTTGGGCAAAGGAGGCAGAAGGCCTGTCAAACTACAACTCCCAGGGTTCCCTGGTGTTCAGGTGCCTTTTCCCCAGGTGAGTCAGTTCCTCCTCGTGCCCTCCAGAGGGCCCGTTGCCATGCACTGCAGTGAAAGTGTTTATTCCAGGAAGGAAACTGAAAGAAGCCAAATCCGGCACATTGAACCCCAGCCTCCTGCTTCTCCTGAGTATGCTTCCCTTTGGGGTCTTCCTTGAAGCCGTCCTTCTCCTTTCCTTCCAGCAAGTTATAGGTATGAAACCTCATTGTTTTTTTTCTGCCCAACTCCTCTTGCAAAACAACATTTGGATTTCCTTTACTAGAGTTTCCGCCGCATGGTAACAAAAGTAGGTAGTTTTCTCCCTTCTTCTGAGTCAACGGCCTCAAGAGTCGAAGAATGACCTTGGGGGCACTTCAGGAGCCTCAGGATGGAAGGGGATGTCCAACCAGACACCTATTTCCTGATTGAGGCCATCCCAGAGGCTTTGCCGCCTGAGGCTGAGGGGCAAACACCTCTCTTCCTTAAGGCCATTGAGTTACTTCGGTCTGTCCCACTTCCCATGAATATTGCATCGTGATGAGTGAGGATTTCAGGGCCTGTTTACATTGTGGAATGGATATGGTTTGCACCACTTGAACTGCCGTAGTTCAGTGCTGTGGAATCATGTGGACTGTAGTTTGACAAAGCCTTGAGCCTCTTCCGCCAAAAGATGTTGGTGCCTCATCAAACTACGGATCCCAGCATCCCATAGCATGGAGCCATGGCAGTTAAAAATGGGGTCGAACCACATACATTCCACAGTGGAGATGCACCCCAGATGTCTTTTCAGGTTACCCCATTCAAGGATATGGTGATATGCTGCCCAACATTGAGATCCCATCTATTTGTTCGATCACTCATTCGTTCTTTTTAAGAAAATATACCAAGAGCTACAGAAATGTAAAGAAATTATTATTATTACTACTAGTTGTACCCGCCACGTGTTGCTGTGGCTAACCTTCCCTCCCTCTTTGTATCCTTCTTTCTTTCTCTCCTTCCATCCTTCCTTCCCTCCCTCTAGGCTTGGGCAGTTTCGTTCATTAATTTCGTAATTTATTATTAATTCGTATTTAAATTAGCTTACGATCCAATATTGAGCCATGCAGGACTACTGTGAGGAGTAATTAAAAATCGAAACAATTTTTCCAATTTATTTCGTATTATTTCGTAATTGTTTCATAATTGGTTCAAAATTGTTTCGAAATTGTTTCGTAATTGTTTCGTAATTATTTCCGTATGTCTGGTGCAAGTTTTATAGTTGTTGTTTGTTTTATCAGTGATAAAAAATAAATTATCACACCAACAGTCAACAACAGAGGGAGAGGGAAGCTTCAGAAGTTCCCCCTGTCCCATTTGGAGGGTTTTTTTAGCATATTGCGCAATCTCCGTCATTAACGAATCGATTCATAATTTTACGAAATTTTGTATATTTTGAACTTTTTTAAAGGAAAATTTCAGAATTCTTAAAAAAAAAACGAAACGCAAGGGCCCCCCTAAAAACGAAACGAGTTTAGAACCAAATTTTTCCGTGGTTACCCAAGCCTACCTCCCTCCTTCTTTCCTTCCTTCCTTCCCTTTTTTCTTTCCTTCTCTCCTTCATTCCTTCCCCTTCCCTTTTCTTTCTCTCCTTTCTTCCTTCTCTACCTATTCTTGGACTGCAACTCCCAGCAGTCCTCCTGATTGAGCTATCTATCTCTATCTAATCTATATATCTTATCTATCTGGAGGATTGCTGAGAGTTGCAGTCCAGGAATAGGAAATAGGAAATATGTACAGATTGGGATGCTCTCAAAGAAATCCAAGGAGAAGCAAGATTGCAGCTTGGAAGCAATATATTTGGAGCATCCTCCTCCCCTAAAGGGCCTGGTCTAGTTTATCCAGTGGTTCTTGAGTTTTGTTAATCCCACCAACGAACATTACATTTTTATTTATATAGATTATTACTAGTATATTGTTTTTCTCCCAAGACTGGAACCCAAAGTAACTAAGGGCGCTTCCAGACAGCACTTAATCGTAGATTTTAGCGAAGGGCAAAAAATCCCAGGACTTCGGGAGAGGTCCACATACAGATCTGTTGATCCTGGGATTTCTGCCTCTGTCGTCCAGACTTCATGCATTGTTATGAGATTTAGAGGCTCCCAAGATGGCCACCATGGGACTCCCACCGAAAAAACCCGCGAGATGCAGATGTGTGGAGATTTGGATATGGAGATAACCGCAAAAGTTCTGTTGTTGTCCCGCATTTCAGATGTTTCATGAAGTATCTGCCACACAAACAAACTTTGCAGGGTAGGACCACTTCTGCCCAAGTCAGCACTGCACAATCAAACAGGAACATACACTTTCAAGCCAGGAACAGAACGTTGTTATTATTGACACTTTTTAGAACCTGGCTGCCTGGCCATCTGTCCAGACAGATTTGGTTGTGTACTTGTGGAATCAAACAACAGGGTGCTGTTCCTGGGTTATATGTGGCTGTTCCTGATTGCTCTTCTTGTGAAAAGATGTACAACATTGGCTAGGGGGCCACATTCTTGTCCTGGCCAGAGAAAATGTGCCCTCCACACGTTTCATGAAGTTTCTGGCACACAAACAAAGTGTTTGCCTTCTACTCAAGTGTCACCTTCTTTTGAGCAACTGACCAATCAGGAACAAGCATCTAAAACTCAGGAACAAACACAGATTAAAAAAATCGCGTGATTTTTGTTTGCAGGGACATATAGACATGCGAAAATCCACATATTTGGCTCAAAACCATGATATTCCCACACCTGGAAATCTTGTGTTTTTTGGCCTTTTGTAGTGATTGCTTCTGGGTTTATAGGGAATGACCCCGGTTTTACAGGTTTTGGATGGGCCCTTAGAAGACAGAAAGCTTAAATGAAAAACTAAAAATGAAAATGGCAAATTATAAGGACAAGAAAAAAGTGACTTCGAAGCTTCCTTTAGATGGCTATTTATGCATAAGAATGTTATTCATTGCATTTGACATATCCATATATTTTGTGCATTTGGGGTGCCTCTGCACTGTTGAGTGAATGCTGTTTGATCCCTCTTGAACTGCCATGGCTAGGTGATATAGAATCATGGGGATTGTATAGTTTTACAAGGTCTTGAGCCTTCTCTGCCAAAGAGTGCTGGGGCCCCACTCAACTGCAATTCCCACGATCCCATAGCATTGAGTCATGGCAGTACAAGTGGGGTCAAACTGCATTCATTCTGCGTGTAGATGCCGATCCCTGATTGCAATTAGAATCAACAGGAAGGTGGACTTCCATTCGGATGTTCTGCCTCTGCCACATAAATGTCTTAGTCCAACCTTGAGAAAGTGGAATTGTAGTGAATACTTTTCAAACAAAGGTTCTTTTCATTGAAATTTTCAATGTGAGAGGGTATATCAAAACATTTACAGAATTTTTACACAAAAAACATTAGATATATAGACATACAGATTCTATGTAACTATATTGGATTCACAAACAACTTACATTTATGAGGTCGGCCATGAAAGCCTTCGACAATACAATTTACAGTTACATTGGGTTGTTGTAGGTTTTTCGGGCTGTGTGGCCATATTCTAAAAAATAACCTACAACAACCCAGTGATTCCGGCTATGAAAGCCTTCGACATTACATTGGCTAAAAAACAAAACAAAGGGGAATTATATTTTTACTCAGCATTCATGCCACACATATACATGCATCCATCACCATGCATATAAATATTGCTATATCCTTTTCTCCCTTCTTTGAGAAAATGCACCTGTTAGCCCAGATCCTGCTTCCCTGCAGGCAAAATAATAGTAATAATAATAACACTTTATTTGTACCCCGCTACCATCTCCCGAGGGACTCGGTGTGGCTTATATGAGGCCGAGCCCACAACACAACAATAAACAATAACAGCAATAATACAAAAACAATACATAAACTCATAAGCAAAATAAGCAAAAAAAACAATAACAATAACACGACGCATTTAAAAACCTATGCCTGGGCCAAATGTAATAATTAAAATTTTTAAAAATAATGCTGGGCATAAACAGGTAACATGTAATTGGGATAGAGGTTTTGGAGAGGGAAGAAATGTGCAGACAATCTAAAGTCATTATTAAAGTGCGTTTAAGGACATCTTGCAGGGAGTTTCCTTATTCTGGGAAGGCACACTGAAACAGCCACATTTTCAGGCTCCTCCTAAAGACTGCCAGAGTTGGGGCTTGCCTAATGTCCCTGGGGAGTGAGTTCCAGAGTCGAGGGGCCACCACCAAGAAGGCCCTCTCCCTCGTCCCCACCAATCGCGCTTGTGATGGTGGTGGGAGCGTGAGCAGGCCCTCTCCAGATGATCGAAGAGATTGTGTGGGTTCGTACACAGAAATGTGGTCACGCAGGTAGGCTGGCCCCAAACCGCTTAGGGCTTTGTAGGTAAGCACCTGCGCCTTGAATTGGGACCGGTAAATGAATGGCAGCCAATGGAGCTCCTTAAACAGGAGGGTTGACCGCTCCCTGTAAGGAGCTCCAGTTAGCAGCCTATTAGCAAAAGTTCCAAACCTTCCATAATGTCAAAATTCCAAGGACCAGATCCCTGTTTTCCATACAGCAGAACCTGACTCCCTGTAAATATATCATGACTCCAAAACGCACTCCTTTCTTTTCCCTTGGGAAAAAGAGACATACACCATGGACCAGAGCATGGCAGCTGAGCGAGACCCCTCTGATCTGTCACAATTTTGTAAATATAATAAGGTTACTTATATAGCAATATTTTGCTGATGTTGTCCCATCCTGGTTCCATCTCAGTTTCCTGGCCAGATGTTGAGTCTTCTTGATTGGTGTTGGCCTTATGTTGACTTCCTTCTTAACATAAATAATGTTGTAAACACCTGCTCACGATCCCACCTGCGTCGCAAGCACGTTTGGTGGGGACGAGGGACAGGGCCTTCTCTGTGGTAGCCCCCCGACTCTGGAACTCTCTCCCCAAGGACATCAGACAAGCCCCAACGTTGGCAGTCTTTAGGAAGAGCTTGAAGACCTGGCTGTTCCAGTGTGCCTTTCCAGAATAGGAAACTCCCAGCATCATGCCCCAAATGCACTTTATTAGAGATTTAAGATTGCCTGCACATTGCACCTACCCTAGAATCCTTATATTTCACCTGTCACGTCCAGCACTTTTAATTTTATTCATTACATTTGGCCCGGCCCTTAGTTTTTTAAATGTGTCATGATGTTATTGTTTTAATGTTTTACTGTTATTGCTTTAATGTTTATTGGTTTGCTTTATGAGTTTTATTGTTGTATTTGTTATGCTGTTGTTTTATTGAGGGCCTTGGCCTTTGTAAGCCGCAACGAGTCCTTCGGGAAATGTTAGCGGGGTACAAATAAAGTTAATATTAATAATAATAATAATAATGAACATTTCCTTAACTTAAAGAGCCATTGTCTGATAAACAGATGTAAACATTTCTCTTATTACTGTCACAGTTCTTATCATAGTTTTAGTTTTGGCAGGTCAACCACTTCAGTTCTCATTAGCAACTTTTAATTGCAGTCCATCAAGCATGTAGTTAATGGTTTAATCATTGCAGGCCTTAATAGTCAGGATAGTGTCTCCAAAATTATTAACTCTCATCCATTCATCTTTCATTCAGTTTATTCATACCCATACATATCAAATCCATATTTATCAAATCTGCACATTATATATCTTGTGACAGAATTATGATTGAATACCCAGGTATTTAATGAAGCCATTCTTTCCTGCAGTCGAGGGATTCCTGCCTCCGCCGCGCAACGTCAGCCTTGTGTCGAAGGACTTCAGTCTGTTCCTGACATGGCTTCCAGATGAACGCTACCCGCCTGGAGTGTCCTATAGAGTTCAATGGAAGTGAGCATTGCAAGAGAAAAACTAAAATACCCATTACATTTTTGGGATTTGGAGGGAAGGGATAGTAATAGGAGGAAGGGACTGGGATGCAAGTACACTATAAATGCACCCTGGCTTAACTGCCACAGTTCAATGGCCTGGAACTTTGGGAGATGTAGTTTGACAAGACTCTTAGCCTTCTCAAATGAAAACTCCCAGGATTCCATAGCCTTGAAGCATGGCAGTTAAGTGGTGTCAAACTGCATTAATTCTAAAGTTGAGATTTAGTTATTTATTTATTTACAACAATTCCACCCTGCCTTTCTCAACCCTGGAGGGGGCTCAAGCTGGCTTTACAGTTATGTCGTTTAGGCATTGAATCTTGATTCTGTAAACCACCTTGAGTCGTCCACAGGCTTAGAAAGGCAGTATACAAATATAGTAAATAAATAAATACACTTAGACAGCTATTCAATATCATTAAAGACATTATGCAATTAAAATGAACATTATACAATAGAGTTATAAAATACAGCAAACCATTTAAAAACATTTAAACTAACATCACCACAGTTAAACCATGGAATCCATAATCGTAATCCAGACCATTCCAATAGTCCTTGCACATAATTCTATATCTGGCTATTGCACAAGTTCTCCAAAGGCTTGATCAAAGAGCCACATTTTCACTCTCTTACGGAAAGTCAGGAGGGAGAGAGCTGATCTAATATCCCTGGGGAGGGAATTCCAGATTCATCCCTGCTGTGTCCATTGGCTAATCAATAATAGTAGTTACAGCAACAACAACAACAACAACAACAACAATCCTCTGCTCTTCAAAAGCTGGTTTTTAAAATCATACGAGGACCATGGATTACATGATGGATCTGTTCAGGGGCCCTTGTTATCACCACCACCATCCTCTGCTCTTTGAAAGTTAGTTTTTAAAAGCACAGGAGGAACATTGTGCAGGTACAACTGCACCAGGAGCTCCAATTTTGTTTGCTTTGCATTTAATGTTTGTTGTAGTCCTAAGTTTCAGGAACTCTGCAGATAAGTGGCTTCTTTTGGCTGCAATCATAGGGCAAGCCACCTGTCAATTATAGTTAGGTTCCCTGGTCCCACCCCCTTCTGGGGTTTGGAGGGAATAGGAGCCAGTTTGGGTTCAGTCCACACAGAGAAGCTTTTCATGCAGGACATAATACCAAGAGCTCCTGTAGAAAGCTTCGTCTTCTACAGCTTGGCCGAGGATCATACAGCCTTACAGCTTCTTTGCGGAGGGACTTCAGTCAACCATCACTGAAACCTGAACTCCTACTTTTCCCCTGGAAGTCTACAAAGCTCTGCTTGGTAAGGGTCTCTTGTGGAAGCCAGAAGCAGTTGGTACCAGGTGTAGGGGCTCCACGCCAACAGAGGCAAAGAAAGACTGCCCAGATTAGAAGTTAAGCATTTCCCCATTAGTTAGTATACAGTTATGAAGATAGTGCCTGTTCCCTGTGGACAAGATTGAGAGAGCCAATAGACTGTTAAGAAAGCTTTAAAGTACCTGTTTGTTTTCATCAATAAAGAACTTTGTTAAACCTTTAAGCATTCTAGAGACTGTGTTTTAAGGAAATCCAAGGGCCTTTAATCTGAGGCAGCCCCGGCGTCCCGTTGGGCGCATGGAATTTATGTCCTGTCTACAGTCTGATGCACAGGCCCAGCGTGCGACAGCACAAACATAGATTGAAATATAGGGGCGATGGCTCACTGGCTCAAGAAGGCGATGTAATGGAAGATACACCACAAATTGAATCCCAACTGCAGAAGCTGTTCGTTGCAGGCCAAAGCAATAGGGACAGAATGCATGGAGCATAAAATGGTCTGCCACACCCCCAAATGGGGCTGCAAGGCTTTTATCACTGACAGAGAATTAAAGACACATTCTCGTTGATATAGGAGCCCCCAGTGGTGCAGTGGGTTAAACCATTGAGCTGCTGAACTTGTTGACTGAAAAGTTGCAGGTTCAAATCTGGGGAGCGACGTGAGCTCGTGCTGTAAGCCCCAGCTTTTGCCAACCTAGCAGTTCAAAAACATGCAAATGTGAGTAGATCAATACTCCAGTGGGAAGGTAACAGCGCTCCATGTAGTCATGCCGGCCACATGGCATTGGAGGTGTCTATGGACAACACCGGCTCTTTGGTTTAGAAATGGAGATGAGCACCAACCCCCAGAGTAGGTCACGACTAGATTTAATATCAGGGGAAAATATTTACCTTTACCTACTCTCATTGGTATGCAGCAATCAATTATCTCATTGATCTATGCTGGGTGTACAGATTTTTCATTGGCTCTCTATAATTCTAACAAGCAGGAAGGCACACGTGGGATCTTAACAATGGCACAACTATAGTATATTGTTCTCTGGCCATGAACATTCAGTTGGAAAGTATCTATAGGTCGGTACTTCAGGTGGCTGGGAAATTAAGAGAGTATTATCTGTCCAACTCTGGGGAATTCATCTTTGGCAGCTCTTTCTCTACACATCAGCATTTTTGCAAACAAAGGCCCTCTGCAAAAGCAGACACATAGGATTTTCAATCATTGGAAACATCAATGAAAATACCTTTTTAAAACTACGTCTCCCTCAACAATGCGTGATGGATCTGTTCTGGACCTCTTGGTATAATCTGGAGCTCTATTTTCTTGGCCTTATCTACAGAAGCTCCTGTGCTCAACAAGAATGGCTAAAATGACCTTTGGTGGACCTGAATGCTTCCAACTCACCCATCACTGTTTCTCATTCTTTTTCCCAGAAACGCGTTTGCTCATGTCTCGGCAATGAGAGACGTCCCTCATTGCCAAGACATCTCTGAAACCATTTGCAACATCACGTGTGTCTCTCCAGAGCTGAATAACAGATACTTGGTCCAGGTTAGAGCTCAGATGATGGATGGCACCAGAATCCTCTCATCGAGCGAAAAGAGGATAGTCGTGGATTACGAAGTTGATGGTATGTTTAGTATTCTTTGGCTCTACATCGGAAGGGCAAAATGTCCATAGTGAAACCAACACAAAGACTTTCCTGTGTTGGAATGGAAAGGCTTCCAGAAACCTGGTCAAGGAGAAGTCATGGGGACTCTTTGTACATGTTCAGATAACCTTGGCTGTCTAGAAATCTTGGCAGAGAGGGAAGCAAGGGAGGGCCCTCCTAAAATCTGAACTCATTGTGAATCATTCAAGATGGAATAAATCCCCCATTCTGGTCCCTTTTGCTACTCCTATCATCCCCTTCCAGTGTAGCCATTGGCCAGGCTGTGGATGATAAGAAGGGGAGTACAACACATTCCAGAAGTCTCTTCTGTGGGGACATCTTCTTTACTGGGTGATGGTGTTGTTGTTGGTGATGATGATTATGATAATAATAATGCATTGTCTATGTATTTTCATAGTTTCCTTAGGCAAGAAATGCTCAGAGGTGATTTTGCCAGCTCTTTCCTCTGAAATAGATCCTATCATGGTTGATATGCCTTGGCAGACCCTCTGGGCTTGGGGAAGGGTCTTCTTTTTGGGCTGTCACTCTCACAATCCCCCAGCTAGAGATTCTGGTAGTGCCAGTCCAAAAAGGCATCCACCCCCATCATCAGGCCTGAAGTATTTGGTGTAAAAGGACCAAAGTTAGTTCTTGCACAGTAGAGTCTCGCTTATCCGACCTTCGCTTATCCGACATACAGTCTTATCAGACACTCTTATCCAGCGCCCCCCTTTCCCTCCAGCATTTCCCCTCCAATTAAAGGAGTGCTCTTCAACTCTTTCCCATTCCCAATAAGTGAAAAAGGCAATGCAATGAGGAGGAGGAGGAGGAGGAGGAGGAGGAGGAGGAGGGGAGGGAGGGAGGGAGGGAGGGAGGGAGGGAGGGAGGGAGGGAGGGAGGGAGGAAAAGGGGAAAAGAGGTAGGACCGGAAATGGAAGCATCCTCCCTGCTTCCCTCTGTGATTTCCATGCTCCTCTTCTGCATCCAGGTACTTCCTGCTGGGCCCCTCTAGCCCTGAGGCATTACCTTGCCTTAATTTTTTGAGTCTCTGTCGTTAGTATCCTAGGTGTCTAGCACTATGTTGGACGGGTCACAGTAGGAGACTCCGTATTGTCCGACATTTTTTTTTATCCAGTGTCCTGCTGGGCTGTTTACGTCGGATAAGCGAAACTCTACTGAATATGTCTGTGCCTTCAAATCAGTTGTTCCTCTGAAATGTAGAGCTTTACAGTAAACCGTACATCAGTGGTTTTCAACCCTGCTAATACCGTGACCCCTTAATGCAGTTCCATATGTTGTGGTGACCTCCAACCATAATATTGTTTTCGTTGCTGTCATTTTACTACTGTTATAAATCGTAATGTAAATATCCGATATTCAGAATAGATTTTCATTCACTGGACTAAATTGAGCACAAATACCCAATATGCCCAAATGTGAATGCTAGTGGGGTTGGGGGGGGGGAGAGGATTGATTTTGTAATTTGGGAGTTGTAGGTGCTGGGATTTATAGTTCACTTATAATCAAAGAGCATTCTGAACTCCACCAGCGATGGATTTAAATCGAACTTGGAACACAGAACTCCCATGACCAGCAGAAAACATTGGAAGCGTTTGGTGGGCATTGACCTTGAGTTTGGGAGATATAGTTCACCTATATCCAGAGGAGTGCTGTGGATTCATGCAATGATGGATCTGGACCAAACTTGGTACAAATACTCAGTATGCCCAAATGTGAACACTGGTGGAGTCTGGGGAAAATAGACATTGACATTTGGGAGTTGTAGTTGTTGGGATTTATAGTTCACCTACAATCAAAGAGCATTCTGAACTCAACCAACAATAGAATTGGATCAAACTTCTCACACAGAATCCCAATAACCAACAGAAAATACCATGTTTTCTGATGGTCTTTGGCGACCCCTTTGACACCCCCTCACGACCCCCTCAGGGGTCCCGACCCCCAGGTTGAGAAACACTGCCGTACATGGATATTTTTGCAATGCTGGGAGGATGTTGCATCGAGATCATTGTATTGACAGCTTTGATTTATAAACTGCTTTGGGTCCCATATTGGTGTAAAAGAGGGATATACATTCAACGAACGCATACATACTGAAGTGCTGAATCTTTTCCAGTGGACATTGTTCCTCCAATCCTCCAGTTAAGACGGACTAAGGACATCCTTGGGGTGAATGTGACTTTCACCTATCCTTCTTGCGCGGAGAAAATATTTCAGCAAGACCTGAGCTATGACTTGAAGTTTTGGGCCAAACATGGGACGGAAAAACCAGTGAGTAAAAGCTGGATAAGAGCAGGAGGGAGTTGGCAATGATGGAGAAACCTACTAGTAACTATTATAGTATATTGCATAGTTGGGTTTGACTCTGAAGCTACAAATATGTCCACAAAGACACGAGAAGTCAGTGTGTAGCCAAGATTGTGGCACAATGCTATGGATTTATGGGATCTGTAGTTTTGTGAGATATTTAGTTTTCTCTGTCAGAGAACTCTGGTGCCACAACATATTACAAATTCAATAGGATGGAGCCATAGCTGTTAAAGTGGTATCTAGCTGCATTAATTCTGCAGCGTAGATGCAAATTTTGTCAAGTCTCTACTTTGGGAAATTTCAAATTGTTGCTTCTTTTATCTTCCAGAGAGAATTCAAAGGCCTAACGAAGAATGCGATGGACATTGACATTATGGACTGGACCAGTGGCAATTACTGTGTCCTTGCAAAGGCTTTCTTCAGTAAAACCGAGAAATGGAGTAACTTCTCTGAGCCTATATGCACATTGTTACCCGAGAAGAGTACTACCCTGCAAGGAGGTAAGTGCAAATGCAGGTATTCCAAATTCCCGAATCCAAAGCCCTTTTGCTCCCAGGTATTTCGGATAAGGGAGATTCAACTTGTATTGCAATCAAGGATCAGCATTAATGTGTCAAAGTATATGCACAACGCAGGAGGAAATGGATTCAGAGGTTTTGGGGTTTTTGTCCCCAGCAGCTACCAAAACGTGAGACCATCCTGTGAAACCTGACTCATGGGAGAATTGGGATAGAGAAAAGGAAGTCCTACTCCACACAAAGGAAGTGTGAATTCCCTCTTTTTACAAGGACTTCTTCTTTCAAAGGGAATGCAGGACTTGGTTACATGGTGGAACTGACCGCTACAAGGTGCGGTCGTGGCCACTGACTTTGGAGTCCTAAAGGGGAGTTTAGGAAACTGAGCTGAAGCTCTCTGTGGTTGCAAGTCACAAAGGTTGTATCCATCAGAGTATAATGTCAATGGAAGTCATAGTCTTACTTTTCCCCTTTGGTCAGACCTAGAATCACAGAATCATAGGCCATCAAGTTTAACCCTCTGCCAAGAAGCAGGAAAATCACATTCAAAGCACCCCACCTAGAATGATATCGTGTCCAGATCTGGAAACCAAAATCCAAGAAGGAGATGGACAAGATTTTTTTTGTGTGTGTATCAGGAGCGACTTGAGAAACTGCAAGTCACTTCTGGAGTGAGAGAATTGGCCATGTTCTCTCACTTCTGGAGTGAGAGAATGGGCCATGTTGCCCATGGGACGCCCGGATGTTTTGATGTTTTGCCATCCTTGTGGGAGGCTTCTCTCATGTCCCTGTATTTATGTATTTATTTACAGTATTTATTTACCGCCTTTCTCACCCCTGGGGGGGACTCAAAGCACTTTAGGGAGCTGGAGCTGACAGAGGGAGCTCTTCTTTAGTCCTGCCGGCACAAGGGTTTAACCCATTGCGCCACCAGGGGCTCCTTATGGAAAGATGGGAAGTCTCTAGAGAATGGCGACAAAAATGGTCAAAGGTCTGACTGCCAAGACCTGATAGGAGCAGCTTAGGGAGGTGGGTACGGCTTCCCTCGATCTATACTCCTCTTGATGCAGCCTAAAATTGCATGGGCCTTTTTAGCTGCAGCATCACACTGTGGACTCATGTTCTGTTTGTGGTCTACTAAGGCTCCTAAGGCCCCCGGTAGCACAGTGGGTTAAAGCGCTGAGCTGCTGAGCTTGTTGACCCAAAAGTCGCGGGTTCGAATCCGGATGGTGGCGTGAGCTCCTGCTGTCAACCCCAGCTTCTGCCAACCTAGCAGTTCGAAAACATGCAAATGTGAGTAGATCAATAGGTACCGCTCAGGTGGGAAGATAACAGCGCTCCTGCTGTCAGCCCCAGCTTCTGCCAACCTAGCAGTTCGAAAACATGCAAATGTGAGTAGATCAATAGGTACCGCTCCAGTGGGAAGATAACGGCGCTCCATGCCAACCAAATGACTTTGGAAGTGTCTACGGACAACGGCAGCTCTTCGGCTTAGAAATGGAGATGAGCACTATACCCCAGAGTTGGACACGACTGGACTTCACGTCAGGGAAAAACATTTACCTTTACTTAAGGCTCCTAGATCCCTTTCACATGGACTGTTTTCAAGCGAGGTGACACCTATCCTAGATCTATGCATTTCATTTTTGTTGCCAAAACGGAATGCCATACATTTCTCCCTATTGAAATCCATTTGCTTAGTTTTGGCCCATCTTTTTAATCTGATATGGACACTTTGGAACCTGCACCTCTCTTCTCGGGTATTCGTCCTATCTGCAAATCTGAGAATCGTCCCTTCTGTTCCATCATCCAAGCCATCAATAAAGATATTGCATAGCCTTGAAAGGCCCAGGAAGGACCCTCTTTATGGCGCTCCTGTAGTCCCTTCTCTCCAGGAGGAAGAAGAGTCGTTGGGGAACATCCTTTGGGTTCGGCTTGTTCCCAATCTATCTTACAGTAACATAGGCCACATTTTGCAAGCTTCTTGGCAAGAATATCATGGGGGAACTTGTCAGAAGCTTTGCTGAAGTCAAGATATGCTACATCCACAGTATATTTATTTATTTCAAGCATTTATATCCCATCCTCTCATCTCCAAAGAGGGACTCAGGGCGGCTTACAACAGCCAATCATTAGATGCCAAACAATATATTAAAACACACAGTTACAATTAAAACAGCAATTAAAACAATTATAAACATTCAATTTAAAATGGTCTGCTGGATCAAAATCATAGTCGAGGTCAATCCACTGTGGTCACTTAAAACATTCTCTTCCCAATTGCTACATCTATTGCTCAAATGCTTGATCCCACAGCCATGTTTTGTGTTTTTTACAAAAGGCCAGGAGGGAGGGATCAGACCTAATTTCATTGGGGAGGGAGTTCCACAGCCGAGGACCCACCACGGAGAAGGCCCTGTCTCTCATCCTCACCAGTCATGCCTGCGAAGGTAGTGGGACCGAGAGCAGGGCGTTTCCGGATGATCTTAACGTCCTTGGTGGTTCATAGAGGGAGATACGTTCGGACAGGTAAACTGGGCCGGAACCGTTTAGGGCTTTATAGGCTAAAGCCAGCACTTTGAATTGTGCTCGGTAGCATATGGACAGCTAGTGGAACTGGTGTAGCAGAGGGGTTGTATGCTCCCTGTACCCTGCTCTGGTGAGCAACCTGGCTGCCATTCATTGGACTAACTGGAGCTTCCGAGCAGTCTTCAAAGGCAATCCCACATAAAGTGCATTGCAGTAATCTGTTTGGGATGTAACAAGAGCGTGGACCACCATGGCCAAGTCAGACCTCCCAAGATAGGAGGGCAACTGGTGCACAAGTTTTAATTGTGCAAAAGCTCCCCTGGCCACCACCGAGACCTGGGGTTCCAGGCTCAGCGATGAGTCCTGAGCAAACCAAACTTGTAAGTGCCAGTGAAACTCAGTGAAAGAAAATCCAAAATCCCTCACTAAATTATGAGCTGCATTATTTGATAGAATGGTGCCATAATAATGTGAGATCAAACTGCTTCAACTTTGTGCTGTGGATGTCCTCCTGGAAGCCCCTAGTTTCCTGCACCTACATCCCACCATCCAGAAATCACAAGCCGTTGATCCCAGTTCTCACTTGAATATACAGTTATAAATGCCAATTGCTTCCAAACCAGCATGTGTTCACGTTGTAAAGAATGTTTTCCTGTCCTCACTGCTTTGTTTTCATTTTCTTTTGCAGCCCAAAACTGGGGGTTTGTTGCCTTCCCGATCCTCATCCTATTTGCTGCTGGTCCTATTTCTCTCTTCCTGTGGTACAAAAACATCATGAAGAAAATCAAGACACCCCAGGCTTTGGTAAGGAAGGTTCAGAGTAGTGTTTCCCAACCTTCCTAATGCCGTGACCCCTTAATAACGTTCCTCATGTTGTGGTGACCCCCAACCATAAAATTATTTTTGTTGCTACTTCATAACTGTAATTTTGCTACTGATATGAATTGCAATGACAGGCAGGATGTATTTTTATTCATTGGACCAAATTTGGCACAAATACCTGATTTGTTCAAATACTGGTGGGGTTGGGGGGATTGATTTTGTCATTTGGGAGTTGTAGTTGCTGGAATTTATAGTTCACCTACAATCAAAGAGCATTCTGAACTCCACTAATGATGGAATTGAGCCAAACTTGGTACACAGAACTCCCACGACCAACAGAAAATACTGTGTTTTCTGATGGTCTTTGGTGACCCCTCTGACACCCCCTCACGACCCCTCCAGGGGTCCCAACCCCCATGTTGAGAAATGCTGGTTTAGAGGGTTTTGGAAATGGAGACGGCAGAAGTGAGATGTGTTTTTTGATATCTGTCCTGCAAGGTTTTTCAATTCCTGTCCTTGGCAAGGGTTCATTCTTGGTGATCAACCAAGGAAGACCATCCTTGCTTCAGAGACAGGCTCGCCTGGCATGTCTGAGTAATCCATAGAGCATATTTGGCGTCTCTTCTTCATTGACCACTCTACCCTGAAAAGTTCTGCCATTAAGGGTCTCCACCTCTATAGGTTTCCAAATGCTTGCTGTTCATTTTACTCAGGCATGGACAATTGGTGGTCTTCCAGATACAGCCAGAGGGCATTCACATCAGCCTTGGCCAAATCGTGAGGTTTCTAAAGGTTTGGAGGCTACATTACTTCAGCTTTAAAGGATAACTTGTTTACTCCAGTACATTACTAATATGTGGTCCTAGGAAACATAGCATTCCTCCAAACCCTACCAGGGTTCCTCAAGGAGAAGAGGAGCAGGACCTGCAGAGTTCCCTGCTATTAGGAATCTACCATTATAGGTGCTTATAGAGTATATCCTAGAACACCTTTTGTCCACATTTTCTCTGTAGTTGGATTATCTGTTGAACTGCTTCTTGCAGTTTAGAGTCTCATTTATGAATCAGCCAAGTAACCCATTGACCACCAGTCATCTTCAAATCTGAAAGCCACTGTTCTAGAACAACATTTTTAGCCAAAGCTGGATGCTTCTAAGCTTCTAAGCTGCTATTGCAAGTGGATGCCATTTTCTTGGCCGGTGTTTCTCAACCTGGGGATCGGGACCCCTAAGGGGGGTCGTGAGGAGGGTTTTTGGGGGGGGGGTCACCAAAGACCATCAGAAAACACATATTTCTAGGAGCTAGCGCAATTGAATAATTGGAATAGCACTTTAAAGCATTTTAAAGCATATTAACACTTGATAAAATTGATGAGGATTGTAATCATTGTGAATAGACCATTGTAAAGTAGACGTAGGGCTCTACACTTGGTTGTAAAGAAAGAAGAAAGAAGAGAAGCAGGAACAACCAGAAGAATATATTGGACAAAGAAATAGGACGGGAAGGTGAAATAGAAGTGTTGGAAACCAGGCGTAGTCAAATAAGAAGAACGCAAACTTGGCGAAGGTGGGAAAGAATAACCAAATTAAACAAATAAATAAGGAAGTAAGAACTGATAGTAAACTTGATTGGGAATATACAAACTACTGAGGACCCGCATTATAAAAAGGAAAAGATGGAACAAATGTTAGCAACAAAAGGCAATAAACTGCCACAAGGAAGAAGACACTCCCTGCAGGGAGAAAAACTACAGAAAATGATAGGGGAAAAAGTTGAGAAAGCCCAAGAAGAGTCATCCACTGCGGGCATAATGGCAGAACTAATTAAAATCCAAGAGGCACAAGGGAAACTACAAGAGACACAAGAAAAAATACAAGCATCCCAAAAGAAGATGGAATCTAAATTGGAGAAGATGATAAAAGATGAAATGGGGAAACTAGGAGAGGAAATCAAAGAAGAAATACAGGCCGTCAAAATAGAGATGAATACGATGCAAAAAGAAATTATTGACATAAAAAAGGAGAATGCGGCACAGAAGAAAACTGTGGAAAAAACCAATAAAAGAGTGGACAAATTGGAAGAGTTAACAGAAAAAATAAACAAAATGCAAGAAAGAACAAATAGAAATGAAACAGAATATCAAATCAGAATTAGGAACATCGAAGAAAATGAACAAGACAACTTAAGGAATATAGTAACTGAAATTACAGCAAAGATTCTAGATGTGCCGACGCAAGAGATTGACAAAAATATAGATAGAGTGTACAGAGTGCAAACGATGTATGCAAAAAAGAAAGGGACGGCAAGAGATATCATGGCCCACCTAGCAAGAAAACACCTAAGGGACCAAATTATAAAAAATAATACCAGAGAACCTATAACCTACAAAGGCAAGAAGGTGATCATTTTAAGGGAAATATCAACCTCGGATTTGAGTAAAAGAAAACAATATTACTTTCTAACAGATGAACTAAAAAGGTTACATATAAAATTTAGATGGGAAAGGATAGAGGGCATAATGGCTACCTATAATGAAGAAAAACACTGGATAACATCGGTAGAAAAAGCCAAGATTTTTTACCAAAAAATTAAGGAAGATCAACAGGACAAAAAAAAGAAAGCGGGAAGACTCTCAGCTAGGGAAGAAGAGAGAGAATCGGATAGAGAAGATATGGAAATAACAAATACACTAGACCCAACCAAAAGGAACAAAGGTGAAAAAAGAGCCAGAGAAACCTCCCCAGAAGATTATGGTAAACAAGGAATGAAGGATATAGCAACAAAGGACTTGTCAGATATAAAATTGAATGATGGCGTTTAAAATCATATCGAATAATGTTAACGGGCTGAACAGCCCGAATAAAAGGAAATCAATAAGCAATATGTTTAAGAGTTTAAAATGTGAAGTAGTAGCTATGCAGGAAACGCACATCATGCAAAAACACTCTGCACACCTGCAAAATAAATATCTAGGAAAGCTATTTTACTCATCAGCACCCCAAAAGAAGAGAGGGGTGGCATTATATATTAAAGAAAATCTGGAACCCGAATTGGCCTTTAAGGATAGTGATGGGAGGATGGTAGGTGTGAAGTGCAAAGTAAATGGGTTAAATGTACTTATATGCAATATATATGCCCCCAACGGAGCAAAGTCCAACTTTGTTAAAGCCCTAAAGAAAGAACTAATAGAACATAGGATGGAAAATATTATAATCCTAGGGGACTTTAATGGAGTACTGGACAACAAAATAGATAAATCTGGAAAGAGAACGAGAGGGGGGGACCCGAAAGGAGGGAACCTACCAGTGGCCTTTACACAGATACAAAAAGAGTTCCATCTCCAAGATATATGGCGTACATTGAACCCAGAAGCAAGGGATTACACCTTCTTTTCAAACAGACATGAGACATGGTCTCGTATTGACATGTGCTGGATGTCCAAATCTTTAGTTATAAAAACTAAGAAGATAACAATAATGCCTAGAACACTCACGGACCACTGTCCATTGAAGCTCGAAATGGAAATTAGTCACAGAGAGAAGAGATGGAGATTAAATGATTGGCTAATACAATCAGAGGAAGACATAAAATATAATAAAAACATATTAAAGGAATATTTCGAGAACAATACAGGCAAAGGAACTAAGTCAGGAATAGTGTGGGACGCTAGCAAGGCGGTCATCCGGGGTCATCTAATACAACAAGGAGCCATCAAAAGCAAAAAAAGAAAAGAGGAACAGGGAAAATTGGTAGAGAAGCTAAAAGCTAAAGAAGATATGCTAAAGAAAAGACCAGGAAATAAAAAACTCCAACTAGAAATAGAACTGCTAAGGAAGGAAGTGAATGAGGCACAAATAATTCAAATGGCCAGGAAATTGGAATATTTAAAGGCCCAGTTTTTTGTTAAGGCCAATAAGCCGGGTAAATTCTTGGCAAGTAAGTTGGCGAAGAGAAGACAACAAAACTTTATAACACAAATAAGGGAAGAAGGTAAAATCTACACGAAAGAAAGAGAGATTGCAAACCAATTTAGAAAATACTACCAAAAATTATACAAAAAAGATGAAGTTACAAAAGAGGATATCATGAAGTATATTTTAGACCAAAAAGTTTCTAAAATATCAGATATAGAAAGAGAATCACTAAACAAACCAATAGAAGAGGATGAAATAGTAAGAGCAATAAAGAGGATGGCCAACAATAAGGCTCCAGGCCCGGACGGGCTGACAGCAAGGTACTATAAAACTTTTAGAGAAGAACTAATTAATTGTTTGAAAGAAATAATGAATGGCATCCTGAGCGGGGAAGAAATGCCGGAGACCTGGCATGAAGGTTATATATCGCTAATACACAAAGAAAACACAGAGGCTACACAACTTAAAAACTACCGACCTATCACTCTGCTGAATTGCGATTGTAAGTTATTTACAAGTATATTAGCTGAAAGATTTAAGCTACTACTAAGTGAGAAAATCAAAGAAGACCAAAGAGGCTTCCTACCGGGCAGACTAATGAGAGACAATGTAAGGGTTATACTTAATGTTATAGAGTACTATGAGAAAAATCGCCAAAAGGAAGTAGGATTGCTTTTTCTTGATGCAGAAAAAGCTTTCGATCAAACAAACTGGGACTTCCTATACCTAATGTTAAAGGAGTTGGATATTGGTTACTCTATATTAAGTGCAGTAAAGGCAATTTACTCAAGACAAACAGCAAAAGTACTAGTAAATGGCCTGCGCACAGAAGATATTGAGATAGAAAGAGGAGTGCGGCAAGGGTGTTCCTTGTCCCCTTTATTGTTTATCTTAGTGTTAGAAGTCCTGTTAGAAGATCTAAGAAATGACAAAGAGCTAAAAGGTCTGAAAATTAGAACAGAAGAATACAAAACTTTAGCTTTCGCAGACGATGTGGTCTGTATTATGGAAAATCCAGTAGAATCCATTCAAAGATGGATACTAAAAATCGAAAAATTTGGAAAACTGG